AAGTAGACCGAACATTATGTTTAGTGTTTGCTTATGTGCTAGATTTCAATCATGCCCTAAGGAATCACATTTACAAGCTATTAAGAGAATCTTTAGATACCTTAAGGACACTCCTAGTATAGGACTTTGGTATCCTAGAGACTCTAGCTTTAGCTTGCATGCCTTCTCTAATGCAGATTATGGAGGATGCAAAATAGATAGGAAAAGCACCTCCGATACTTTCGATTCCTAGAAAATATGATGATTTATTGGTTTTCAAAGAAACAAAATAGTTTTGCATTATCTACCACTGAAGTGGAATACATTTCAGCGGGTAGTTGTTGCGCACAAGTTTTATGAATGAAACAATAACTTTTAGACTATGAAATTAAAGTTGGTACCATACCTATCAAGTGTGACAATACTAGTGCTATTTGTCTCACTAAAAATTTCATCTAATACTCTAGAACTAAGCACATTGAAATTAGACATCATTTCATTAGATATCATGTCACAAAAGGAGATGTAATTCTAGAATTTGTAGATACTTTGCATCAATGAGCGGATATTTTTACAAAACCTTTAGACAAAGAGAGATTTTGGACACTCAGGAGAGAATTAGGTTTAAACAACCTACCTTGATTTTGTGTTTAAAATAATCTTAGCACTTTTAATGATTAAATAAAAATGCATGTAAAAATAACATTTTTGAATGTCTTCTATGCTAATAGTTAGGGGGAGTTTATGATCTTTAGTAAAAATTAATAATATGTTCAAATAAAATTCAAGGGTAGATTTGATTGATTGAACATAGTTAATTTTCGTGATATGAGTTTCCAATACCACTAGAGCTGATTAATTTTGCATGCTAAGCATGATAAGTGTTTAAAAACAGATTTTTGACAATTGTATGCATTAGGTATCGATATTGGTCACCCAGGTACGAATATCTCTCTTGCTAGGTATCAATATCGTTCTTAACGGTACCGATACACCTTGAATGTGTATCGATACCCCTCGAGGGGTACCAATACCCCCTGTCGGGTTTAGGCTTTAAAATTGCTAAAATCTCATTATTTTGCCAAAAACCCCAAACTCTATTTTGCTCGATGTTACTTCCCTCTCCTCTACCAAATCACTACATTGATCAAAACTTTCAAGTTCAAGTCGGATTCCATTAGTTCTTCAACTTATAATCCTACTAGTATCATCAAATTAGTGCAAACAACAACATATCTCACTCAATCTCGAAATTTCAAGGTAATTTTTCTAAAACACTATTTTATTGATTTTTTAACATAGGACTAGTTTTAGTTAGTTCTAGTTCAAATTAGTGATCGGGCATTACATATATTCGAGCTTTAAACTAGAATCTACAAGAAATTTTATCAAATAATTGTTTTTGATTTAATTACATTGTTTTAATGAAAACTATATACATAATCATTTTTCAAACTTAGTTTTCAAATTTTACCCATTAGACTAGTTTTTAGAACCTTGAACATTGAAGACTCGTATTGAGTTTTGAGATTAATTGTGTTGCATACATATGTTGTTTAATTGCAGGTATCCTATTCTGATTTCATAAATCATGTCTAAACGCCTTAGGTCATCATCTAGTCGTTCCTCCCAACCATAAAATCCACCCCCTATTCCACAACAAAATCATATCCCTAATGAACCCGAGATGGCCATTCTAAACTCTTGCTTTAATGAACCTAATCGTAGAGGTCTCTACTATAGGTTTGTTAACCATTTCGAGTCATATAACATTAGGTAAGAGCATATCTTATCTCTCCAAGATATGGAAGAGATGAAATTCAAATATCTCCCTACGCTCAAATCATCTCTTGGTGGTTTAGATTATCACGAAGGTTTTCTTTATCTTATCATCTCTTGGTGGTTTAGACCACCCAGAGGAAAATACTCCACTCTTAGAGCGATTGACTTATGGTGGATACATTGTATCCAACAAAATAAGAAAATAAATCTCACTCAAATTATCTTTGGGGAACTCGTAGAAACCATAAATAACATTCATTCTAAACGTGTTGAAACATTATTTTACAGCTGTCTACTAAGTAATATCTTTATGAAAGCTGGTCTTAAGGTAGAATTAGACGTAGCCATCCCTCTAACCACACAAATCAACAAAACATCTTTACGAAAATCGGGATGGACTGGAGACAAAGACCAATGGGTTCGAGCAACAAAGAAAACCCTCGGTGCTAGCTCTTCATGAGCTGCTTCGACTTCGGCTCAAGAGCTTGAAGACCTTCTACGGGATGTCGATGATCCTGTAAATCAATTCGAGGACGAGCCAGCCAGGCAAGACAGTTTAATGCCTCCATACTTTCAGTCTTTTATGGAGATATTGGATTTGAGGTTTGCATCCTTAGAGTCCCATTTAACTGCTATGGAAACTCAACAGTTGGAGAATCAAATGGAAATTCGAGCTCAACGTGAAGCAATGGATATTCGATTCAATGTTGTACATGAGGGACTTGATGCACTAACACGCGATGTTGCTTTCCTTAGAGGACATCGATTTGATCCTAATCCTCGTACAAATGATTGATCACTCTTGCTAGTTATCTTAGTTTGAACTTTGAACCTTATTTTGTTTAAACATTTTGATGATGTGGATGTTTGAATATTTGGTTATTTTTGAATTTTTAGTGTGGTTTGTTTGAAATACTATGAATGATTATTAGTATTTTGAACTTAAATTAAATTTTATGTTAGATTATGAATCATTTACATTTTAGATCAATTATGACCAATTCATATCGCATATTGCTTATGAATATTGAATTTATGGACTAATGACTAATATTTCTCTTGACTTTGATCTTAGCAGCTATATACATATATATACATCAATTTGGCAAACTTGTTTTAAAATGAATCACAAAGTCTTTTTTTTATTTAACAAAAAGAGGGAGAATATAGTAAGGGGAGTGGGGAGTATGCTTTCAAAAATGAATTTTCAAAAGAAAAATCTTAAAATTTCAAAAATGTTTTGTTATATAAAAAAGGGGGTGATTGTTGAAAACATTTTGATGTTTCAATATAACAAATAAAGTGTTAATGAATTTTAAGATTTTATATTTGATTTAAATATAATATTCGATTCAATTAATCGAATATCACAAATATTACTCCAAGTTTTGAAATATTAATTTTACTCCTTACTTAAATGAAAAAGTGTGTTTCACTCGTAAAATATTTTTGAAATAATTTTTACAAAGTATTTCGAACCATAATCGAGTCAAAATTGAGTTTTTAATAGGGAGGTACCAATACATCTTTAACGAGTATCGATACCCCTCAAACATTGAATGCAAAAAACGTATTGATACCCTAGAAGGTATCGATACCCCTTTATATATAGGTACCGATACCTAGCCAAAAGGTACTGATACCCCTCAGTTGATTTTGACTCCGAGAAATAGCAGAATACAAAATGGGTACCGATACCATGACCGATATCGATACCTATTTACATAGTAGTATCGATACCCTCTTGAGAGGTACTGATACCATTAGTTTTGCAACGGATAAAATATTTGAATTTTATACAGGTAGTATTGATACCCCTATGAAGGAGTACCGATACCCATACGCTCCCAACAACTTTTTGAAGTGGATTTCACACCACAACGGTTCTATTGACTTCACCAAGATTCCAACGTTCAAAATTCATCTAAGGTGTATTTAAACAAGTTCTGAAGTCATTGGTGATTAACAATTACACTAATTGAGATAGAAACAAGAGAGAAAGCATCAAACTTCAAGTTTGAGCAATTCAAGCCAAAATCCATTCAATATTCATTTTGCTTTCAAGAACACACTTTGTGCTCAATTATATTAATATTTGAGTGTTCTTTCTTTGTTCTAGAATTGTGCAAACATTCTACCTTGTGAGGTTTTTTTGTAAGTTTGCAAAATTTGTAAGCTTCTCTTTGAGAGAGAGTGTTCTCAAGAATTTTGGATATAATTATTGAGGGAGTTGTAAGGTTACTCTTTGTCCTCAAAAGAAAGACAAATTAGTAAATTTGTGGAAAATCCTTAGTGTGCATAGCTAAAGTAGTGGACGTAGACTTTGGTTGAGAAAGTCGAACCACTCTAAATCGCTATGCAAATATTTTCAATTTTCTATCAAAGCTTTCACCAAAATTTTAATTGTCAATTTACCCCCTCTTGGCTGATTCATCCGATCGATTAACTCAACATAGACGTTAGGTAGAAACCTACGAAACAGTATTGTAGCGACATCCCCTTTTATGTTCCTTGTTGATCGATAAATATTGCTTCTTCTTCATCTTCAAGTAAGTTTAATTCTTCCATTGTTTGCTCCAGGTCCCCCATGCTTGTTGGATAGGTTTTGATTGCACCAGATTGTTTACTACGTCTTTGTAGTTTTCTGAAGAACTCAAAGTAAAATCAAGGCAAAACCTTAATTACAAACAGTCGACCGAGAGAATAAAGGCAATAACCTAGATCTCGATAATTAAAAATGTACCTTTAATTTTTTTTTAAATTAAATAAATTTTTTATCACATCATTATTTATATGTTAGCATATAAATTATCACAATAATATTATAAACTGTCATATAAATACGATCAATCATCTTATTAACATCGTTAATAATTATATCAATATAGTAACATTTATTGATAGTTTTACCGTTCAAAAATTAAAAATAATACTTAATATTAATGAAATTTAAAGAAAACGATTTTTATAGGACGGTAAAATACTCTTAATCCAATAAACAAATGAAAGAAGAAGAAATACAATTTTATAAATTAACCCCATAAAAACCTAGGCTTAGGCACGCCTTTGCTATATTGTATGTACAGTAATAATTGAAGAAATTTCGTGAAGTTTTTGAGTTTGTTAACAGTCGCAACTTTCCATTTGCGCTCTCCATCTTCGGATAATTCAATAAACCACGTAAGCAAGCCCATCCTGATTTAGTAAACGTCGGCCGGAATCCCGTCAAAATAGTTTACTTATTTTTCACATGACCGCAAGCCTCGAACACCCAAACGGATGGGGAGATAACGGAGATAACGGAGGGATACTGAATATTCCCTTCATATCTTCACTGTCCCAAAATCCCGTCCAATTCGACGGAGTTAAACATGCTCCCGGCGTTACACTTTCCGCCTCCTTCGCCGGTACCGCCTCTTTTACCTCTCTTTTCACTGCTTTATTCTCCATGCTTCTTTCTTCATCCTCCTCCTCTCTTTTCCTTTTCATACAAGACGAAGTGGAATCCTCTGTTAATTCCGACTCCGAAGAATTAGATTTCCCTGCTTCAAGAGGGAAATTCACAATCGCCCTGCTTCCCCGCAGCTTAAACGCTGCTCTATCATAAGCTTTAGCAGCTTCGATGGCGGTGTCGAAGGTCCCAAGCCAAACCCTAGCCCCTTTTCTGTTCGGGTCTCTGATTTCGGCAGCGAATTTGCCCCACGGTCGTCTCCTAACGCCCCTGTAATGCCTTTTCTGGTCACAATCCGTGGTGCTCATGTCCAGTTTTGCTGCCGGGATCGTCACGTTCACAGCGGGACGACGTTGGCTCAGGGTAGATTGTTTAGGGCTGGAAGTTTGAGGGAATTTTGGGGTTTCAACCATGGAGGTACAGCGATCGATATTGGCAAGAAAAGAATCAAAGGAAGCGAAGTCTGTAAGAAGATGTCGGGTGATGAGTTCCATATCCATGGCTAATGTTTCTTCAGAAGATGACATTTATGTTATGTAAAAAAATATGATTTTAAGATTCTGAAAATGGATTCCAAGATACTTCGGCTTTTTTTGGTAATTGAAAATAGAATGGAAGAAACTTGAATGAATGAACTGATTTGAGTGGAGCGTGGGGGTTGGTATTTAAAGGCAAGAACAACTAGTTGAAGGGGCAGACTTCATAGTAGCTTCCAGGATAGGTCCCGGAAGGATCGTCGAGACCAAATTGTCTTTTTCAGTGTTTTGAAAATCGGATCGGATTGACCGATTTAACCAGTAATCGCTGTCTAGTCCGGTTTAATTTACACCAGTTGAACCATTACTAGTGAACAGGTCGAAACCGTTGAACAGTTCAAACCGGACCGACTGAAAACCGAAAAAAATTAGGAAAACCGGAAAAACCTGCCAATTTTGTTTTTTTTTAAAATAAAAAAAAATTAAATCAAACGACGTCGTTTGTTAAACGAGCCAAGTCGAACTCGAGTATTGCTAAGCTCGACTCAAACTTGAAAACTTTAAAAGTAAGCTCATCTCGACTCAAACTCACGTGCTAAAAATTATCAAGTTCAACTTGAACTTGAAATATAATATTGAAACTTGAACTCGAAAAGGCTTGAACTCAAAAACAATATAGAAGCTCGATTGAAGCCTAAAATTCGAGCTTGATTGAAGTGAAATAATATTTCACTCAATGTTCACCAAAAGGCTCCATGATTTTGAATGTCAAATTACCTCTATTATTTATAGAAGTCAGTTGGGATGCTCTTCTATGTTTCTTAGCCATATGAGATTGTTTTGTTTTCATATTTTTACTCTTTAGACTTTTGGGATGCTCTTGTATGTTTCTTAGCCATGTGGGATTGTTTTTTAAAAAAAATATTAAACCAAACAATATCATTTTATTATGATTTTTTTAGCCCCAAATTTATTTTTTAATTATAGTTATATAATTATATTTATTATTTAATATGTTTTACCTTAATTATTATGTTGTAGTTAATTTGAATCATTTTGTTTCACTTGATTTTATGGTTTTTAACTTATATATGTTATGACTTGCTTTGAATATGACTTGTGATATAAAAAATTATTTTTTATTAAATATTTTTGGTATTTTTATTTAATTTTTTAAATAATTATGACGTCATCAGGTTCTTCCTACCGGTCAGACCGGTTCGACAGGTTGAACCAATGAACCGGTAACATTACCGATTCGCTAACCGATTCGCTAACCAATCCGATTATGAAAACCATGGTCTTTTTCTATGTTCAACTTCCATATCCATAATAAACAGGAGTAATGCTAAAATTAGCTCCCATTGTTTATTAAAATTACTATTTTGGCTCTTTTTCTTTTTCTTTTTTTTAAACATTTCGACCTCTAGTATTTCATTTTGAGGTAAAAATATTTCTCTATGAATGAAAATTGTTAGTTAAGATATGATTAACGCTCTACAATATAGGTTTTTTTTACATTAAAATGAAATATTGAGAGCTAAAAATGCTCTATAAAAAAGAATAAGGGTCAAAGAGACTAATATGTCTAAATTAGGTGTTTTTTTACTCTAAAATAAAATGTTGAGCGTTAAAATATTTCAAAGGGGGGGCAAAATGACCATTTTAGTCAATGTTTTGAAAGATAATTTGATATTATGCCTAATAAATAATAGGACAAACGATCTATTTGGTCACCCATCTATTACTTAATTATTGTTCTGGTCATTCTACTATTATATTTTTTAAAATTATATCTAACATTACATTTTGGTTATATTTTAGTAGGCTATTAAAAAAATTAAGAGTGATGCTAGCATGACATTTCTTATTATGATAATGTGACGTTTCTAAATGGTGACACATCAGCATCACCGTTATTTTTTTAACAACGGATGGCCAAAATAGAACTAAAATAAAATGTTAGGTATGAGTTTGAAAAGATAATAGTTTGGTGACTGAAAAAGAAACTAATTAATAAGTGAGTGACCAATGGGTAAGTTACCCTAAATTAATAATCATATCTTCCAGGTTGCTTCTTCTGCGAATACATTAGATTCTGATCTATGATTGCTAATTTGTTTATTTGTATAATTTACTGACAAATGTCAAAAGAGTATCCATTCAGTCAAACTATTTATACTACTATGTTCATTTACAGCTTTCAATGTCTGTAGTACTTCTATTACCACGTTTTCAAATGTAATTGAATAATAATAAAACCAGTCAACAGGCAATTTAGTAGAGGATTTCTTTTCTTTTTTTTCCCCCTTTTTTTGAGTAAATTTAATAGAGGATTTCCTATTTATTGAAATGGATAATTTTTTTGGAGGCATATGTATAGAAATGGATGAAAACCTGCTGAGAGGTGATGTAATTGTCTTTCCAATTTATACTAAATTTTTTTTTATAAATAAATAAACTAAAAACAAAAACCATTCTCATGTTCCTTAGAACTTTAATGCATTCGTTGTATTTATGTTTAACATAATTAAATTAATTATCTATCACGAACCAACTTATCTCATGGTTAAAGGAATTGTTTTGGTTCCTAGAGGTCATGAATTCAAGCACCAGCGACTGCAACAAGGTGATTGAGTGTTCATTGTCGAATGGTTAGGAGTATTTAAAACAAATACTACTTTATAATCATCTTAGCTTAATAAAAGAAATAATCATCTATGTATTTATACGGACATGAAATGCAACAGTAGAATATTAAAGATAAGTTCTTATGTAGTAAAATATATGGATGTACGTTCGATCGAGTCGAGTTAAAAATTTTGAGTTATTCGAGTTGACGACCTATTTTATAACTCATATTTTATTTGAATTTTTTATTCGAATCGAGTTTTTAAAATTTGAATTGAGTTATTCAAGTTTGTATTTAAATTTAATTGTAAATATTTGTAGGGTAAAGTACACTGTTCCTCACTATACTATACCCTCTCTCGTATTTTCCTCACCCAACTTTCAATTTTTCTATTTTGCTCACTGAACTTTACATATTGAATCATTTTGCTTACTGTAACCCCCTCAGACCGAAGCGGGTAACCAGATCCGATCCGGGAAGTCACATTAGGGCCACCAGAGCGACCCACTATAAAAATCTCAAAAAAATTAAAACTTTTATTAAAACATGTAAACTCATAAAATGATTTATCAATATTCAGAACTAAAACAGGTTTTCAGACTCAGATATAAAACAAAATACAATCTACATGCCCCCTAATCATATGTACGATACTCTGCAAGCAACGCCAGACGAACTCCCTTACTGATGTTGATAGTTGCACTGGTTCATTCCTTTTAACCTGAAAAGGTGAGTAACAGAGTGAGCTTTGGAAAGCTCAGTAATACAGAACTACCAGATGATGCTAAAGAACGTGAAGATACAGATAAACATATATTTCCTTATCGGTTCAGACATCTACAGATCTTTATGTTGAGCGGAGATCCTACTGATATTTCAGGTAGTAAAAGATAATGAGCGTTCAGTTCAGGGAAATATTTCGGATGACTGAGTTCAGGAGATCAGAATAGGTTATCTAGTGTATTCCCCAAAACCAGTGAAAAGATACAGATCTTTTTAAAACATATTATTAAAAATTCAAAAATCATAGTAATCCCTCCAACCGCACATCCAATAATGTGTAGGTTCCCCAGAACCATACACCCAACCACACAGCCAGTAAGGCCCTGAGCACAAAGTCAATGAACCTGCAGATATACTTCCTCCAACAATACCCCCAAATAAAACATTTTCCGTCAGTAAACGGAGATATCAGAAAACAAAACATAATTCAGATCAAATATCATAACAGAATCCAGGTCAGGAATCAGAACAGATTTCAGATCAGATGTCATAAAAGAATTCAAAATGGAAATCAGACAAAATATTCATGTGAGTAGGGAACACACTAGAGTTTCCAGATATTATTCAGAGATATTGGATAATCTTATCGGGCGGAGAAACACGGATCTTCAGTTTACCGATAGAATGTCGTAAGTTAGAATCACTATTGGAAGAGTTCATTAACTGACAGAATCATCAGTTATTTAGAATATGATTTATCAGGATCATATCTTATCCGGACATTTTTTGAAAGCTCTACGAAATCATAAAAGTATTCAGAATCTTTTTCATCTAAGTTATTTGTGTTTTCAGATATGACCAGAGTGATTTGAGATGATAAGGGAGAACGAAGATTAAGGACCTTTACAATCTATGTCGATTGATCGGATTATCGAACAACTCAAGATGAACAGCTCCCAGAACTAATGCTTGTCAACTGGTCAATTCATTGTCCTTTCAGGGTATTTACTTTTTAATACCAAAAATTCTTATCCATAAATCATCTTCGGAATCATCGCTGAATAAATCTTCCAATGGTTTTTATTTCATTTCCACGCTTCCACAATATTATGACCTGCTGACGTGCTTGATTTGTAGTTCATGACCCATAAGAACAGTACATCATGTAAGTTCATTAGCATTCCCAGACTCATCCAATTCACTTATTTAATTCTCACTCATTGATCTTACTCAGTAATCAAGTCTAACTCGGTTACTTCATAGTTTTCCAGAGTAATTCAGAAGTTTCTAAATTTCGATACATATTGTACTTCTGTTCAGTTTAATTTGGTATTCGTGGTTGATTTGCCTAACAAAATATCCACTTCTTAGTACCGAATGCACTCTAGAGTTTAGTTGAGCTGAGTTCTTCCAGAATTATCATCGATCCAAACTTGAGGAGACGAACAAGGATTCAAGTGGTATCTATGCCATTTAGGTACTGACATAACATTAGTGTTGGTTGACCAACTTAATTTGTGTTCCATAACTTTCAAGGGTAGTACAACACCTATGCTTATTTGGATTCCTTAATTAATCCAAGACATTTACTTAGTCTAGGCCATAAGGGTATTTTGGTTATTTTGATGCTAAATGTTAATTTAGTTATTTCTGAGCTTGTGGATATCCAATCATTCCTGGGCTTGGTGATATTCTTGGGTCATTTCCATTCTAGGGGTATTATGGTCATTTTATAGATACATGGTATTTCAATTCTTTTCTTCCATCTGATCTTATTATTTAATTCAA